TTGCAATCACAACTGCATGTCATGCCTGCGTCCGTCATGATGCCACGTCCGACATCTAGAGATCGACCGTAAACCAGAGGTATTCCGTGGCTCCATTGCCGTGGGTGAGGAGTGAGCGCGCGATATGGGTTTGCTCTTCACCATTCACTGCTCGTCACCTGACCTTGCCGGCACTACTGTTGATCCGTATCCGATCACGCCGCTCTACTTTTAGTCAGGCCTCCACTTCCACTACTCTCGCTATCGACCTCTCTGCCTTTTGTATCGTCAGTCGGAACCTCTTCCAGGATTGTTTCTCTACCTGTCCAGGCTTTTGCCTCATTCACACGAACAAACACTGACCGTGCTCCCTCTTTAGACTGTCTGCCACCAGCCGCACCAAAGCTTCCACCAGCGCCGAACCGGACTTGCAACGTAGGTGCTCACCATTATGACGTTTCCGTGGTTTGTACTGACCTGGCTTAGACCTAGTATCCCACTCCGGATACTTGCATTGTAAATCCATCTTCTGGCGATTTACCTGACCCGGCGGACTCGTTAGCTCGTGCTCTGCCCCATTTCGAGACCCCGTTCAATTTCAATCTGTCTTCTGGATGCAATTAGCAAGGAACTCGCCCTCTTCGACTTCTTTCACTGTCTTTTTTTGTGTTTTTGCACACACCTCACTCGCTCACTAACATAATAGCACTAATTCTGTAAAGGTATGTAACGCGCTATAGGTCTTGGCATCAAGTCAAGCAGTTTAGATCAACCACTAACACGATTGGGTCAGGCTCTGTCCACTACAACTGGTTCCCGATATTACGCACTCAACAAAATCGGACCACAGACCCTTCACCTGTACCAACTAATAACAGTCTCTACACTCGTTGCCCTCCAGGCTGCCACTCTCTAATACAGCTCACCTTTTGAAGCTATCCACTCACTCAACTACTACACTACCCCCGTCTATCCCGGAGACCTGACGACCACCACCTTGACATACCGACACCACTTCACGATGGCGTACAACCAGCAACAGCAACAGCAGTCCCGCTACGGCAACTGCGACTCGTACTTCGTCGAGTCACATGACGATGGTGTTTATGCCATGCGAGCCGAGGCTAGAGAAAGGCACCGAGCCGTATCCAAGATGCAACAACGAGCCATCGCTGAAGAGCTTTCCAGGCTCACAGCCGATGAGTACCAAGAGGATATCATGCAACACATGATGCACATGGAATCACAGACCCTCCCCGATGTCAACTCTATCGACATTCAGACCGAGATCCAGTGGTTCATGCGCCCATATCTCCTTGATTTCCTGGTAGAAGCCCACGCTGCATTCCAGCTCCTCCCCGAGACTCTGTTCCTTGCCGTCAACCTTCTCGATCGCTACTGCTCCCGTCGCGTCGTTTACAAGCGCCACTACCAGCTCGTCGGATGTGCTGCCCTCCTCATTGCTGCCAAGTACGGCGACAAGAAAGATCGTGTACCTACTGTACGGGAGCTCAAGTCCATGTGCTGCTCTTTGTATGATGACGAGATGTTCACCCAGATGGAGTGGCACGTGCTACAGACTCTTAACTGGATGATTGGACACACCACAGTCGATGCATTCCTCCAGATTGCGCTGGCCGAGGCCCCATACGATGCCGAGGTTGAGCACATGACGCTTTACATTGCTGAGATTGCACTTTTCCACAAGGAGTTTGTTTCCACGCGCCCATCTGTCCTCGCACGATCTGCTCTCGCTCTTGCGAGGTGCATTCTTTCGCGACCACAAGCACGCAACACCGACTGGTCTGGCGCCTACGACCCACAAACCGTGATTGGCCTGTCCAACCACCTGTACCAGCCATCTCCTGTGCTCTCTCGCAAGTATGCTTCGATGCATCTGTCAGCCGTGTCTGCCACCGTCGATGAGTTCCTTCAACGCCAAGCACAGATCGCGCGCCGTCAAGCAGCTCCGCCAACACCGCCACCCACCGTTGTCATCGACGAGCCCAAGCCTGCCTCGGAACCGTTTGGCCCTCAAACACCTAACAAGAACCCATACGCCTCTGTCATGCAGAATGGATGCCCTACCCCGCCAATCACACCTGAAGGCGAACAGTTCACGTATGGTCACGTTGTCAAGTCGCAGCCTGCTTCCCTGTATCCCACCACACCTACATCGGAGCATGCGCCACCGCAACATCAGGGTCAATACTTCCACAACCAGTATCTCCACCCCCAGCACATGTAAGCAATTACTTGCGCCAGGTAGTGGCTGGTCATCTTCTCTGTCAAAAGAACTCCCACCCTCTTGGACCGTCTCGTCATTGTCCGAGAGGGTTGCGTTGTACCAAAAAACACTCGTACATGTGCCTCATTTCACGGTAATCCTTTCTAGCATCTCCAAGCGTTTGTTCCTGTTATTCTGCGATATCAAAGAACACCCCTTTCCTGTTTCGAGCATTTTCTTTTGTTTAGTCCGACCAAAAAAATACTGCACCCTCGCCCGCTTCTTGGCCTACTTGCTCTCTGGTCAGTGGCTCGGTTTGCGGGGCCTAGGTCAAGTCGAACACCCTTCTTCTTGGACATTGTCTCCATCTAATATGGGTCTTCCGACCTGCACCCACGGCTTGAGGGGAGGAAAAGCGGCTGGAGGGTGAAATTGGAATACAAGCAAGCAAGCACAATCAAGCTCACTCGCAGATGTCGTTTGCTTAAGCGAGCAGAGATACCCTTCTTTTTTTTTCTCAATTGGAATCTTTTTTTTCGGGCCCCCTTTTTTGTTCCACGGGTGTCCGACGTTTGTCTTTTGCGTGTTTGGTGGGATGGTGAAGAGAGTGCGTGGCATGCTACAAGCATGGTTGACGTCTAGATTGTACTTGACAGCGGGGCTGGAAGCGCTACGAACATCAAATAGCTATAGAAACGGTCGCCCTTCACCACTTGATTCTCCTTACGCGCTTCTATTCTGGTATATCCATGTTTATGTGTTTCAGCCTATGATGACCCCCAGCAACTTGCGTTGGGCGAGTGGATGCTTTGGCGTTATGCGACGCAAGCTACGTCCACTTGCCACAGGTTTCACAGTAAGCAATGCAACTTGAAGTCTTTAAGATTGCCATGCTCTGCTCCATCGAGCAGTAAAGCACTACATTCACGTCATTTCGATGCATATGTTGGCGAGTATGCCTTTAGTGAGTTATTCAACACACGGCGCCTGGGCGCCTTCATTCACTAACACGCTCAAAGATCTCCATAACAGCAGCCAGCACGCCCACGGGACAAGGCTACCGAATCTTCTCGCCCTACACCGACGACGACACGGCATTTGCAAACAAGACGCTCTGTCCCCGCTATGCCGAGTGCGATCCGACCTCCGCCCCACCGTCTCCTGCCTCCGTTGAATCGCTCGAAATCTTCGACAGCATTCCTTGGCGAAGAGATTACATCGCGCTGGACCCGCGTACCAGGGCACGACGCAACAGCCGACTACGCGCAGGATGGATGCAGAATAAACTCCGCGCCACAATCGTAATTGTGCTTTTGCTGCTCGCCGTCCTTGCGGCCGCCACCGCGCTAGTCCTATATCTATCTGTTGCACATGGAAAAAGCAAGTGAGAAGGAAAGAAAGGAACAGGAACGACAGAGAGCGAAATGGGAGAGGGTGGGCGGGTCGTCGGGGAGGGAAGGTGTGTGTGTGTGTGACGCACATACTCCTCCAAGAACCTAAACATGAGGCGAACATTTGCAGGGTACACACCATCGCCTCGAAAAAAAAACCCCTCCCCTCACAGAACATGGTCTTTTGAGAGAGAGAGAGAGAGCCCCGGGGCCAAAGTAAAGTATTAGTGGACTTTTTTGAGAATGATTGCGTATGCGGCAGTTTCGCATATGGTCACGCTCCTCGTAGCTACAGGACCACACAGCCTCCCCGCCCCTCCCCTCTCCAAAGCGCGGTTGGCAAACGCAGACGTGGCGTGGCGGATTTTCAAGGACGGACCTGGTATAGAAATGGGGTGGGGAAGGGGGGGGAAGAGCAACATTGCCGCAAGGAAGTACCCTTGAGAGACTGCGCCCCTAACCACCCCCCCAGCCACGATGACTCCCCATGTGCCACTGTTCCGCGGGTTTACTTAACTTGGTGAGTGGTAGTAAAAGGGTAGCGAAGCACGAGCACCGGTTGATGGGTCTCGAAAGGGTTGCCTTTGAACGGGAGATAGTAAACACCCTTTTTCTTTCTTTCCTTACTTTTTATCTTGGCGAGAGAAAGAGAGAGAGAGATGGAATATACGCAAGAGATTAGCAGCGCCCTGCTCACCAACAACAACAACAACAATAATAATAATAATAATAATAAAAATGATCCTAGTACACCATACGTTGAGAGCATTTATCGAGTAGTAGTACTACTACTATTACTACTACCACTAATACTACTACTGGTTTATTTTGGGACAAAATCGCGTGTTTGTTATGGCCCTTAACCCAATCCCCCCTTTTAACCCTACCCTTTCCACGGAGTGGAAAGGAGTGGAAACAAGTTCGGCCCAATGCGTTGGCCTTTGCTGTGCTGGGATGATCCCGTCTTGCTTGCATGCTGGGGTTTGGTCTTATTTCCCCAATCGGAGTCCGGGAGTTCCAGGACGAATTACGTGATGGGGTTGGACTAGAAATGGGTAATTATCGTTGTGGGTTATGCGCTGGGATTGTGGATCCACACCGGTTTCCTGGGCGATTAGGTGAGGTGGGGAGGGGATGGTGTTAGTAGTGAGATGGTGGAGCTTGATGGGGTTGCCTTGGGTGGCGAGTGGGAAGGTGCTGGTGCTGGTGCTGGTGCTGGTGAGTTAAGTATGTACGGACGATTGGAGGTGCGTTATCGTGATCACGTGGATTGCGTCTTATCGTGAGGTTGCGCGACAACAGCAATCTAAGGGGAGAGGGAACGGGATGCTATAACGCCAGACACACAACAAGCAGTGATGACGATGCAAGCCGTGGTGTATATTTCGCATCATAGGTAATAAATGTCTGAAATTCATAGTCGCAGGCTTCTGCGCACTCCATCTCCTCCGCTCCGCCGTGCTTCCCTTGCCCCATCTACAGTAGTAGTACATAAACGCGCAATATGGCCCTTGGTACTCCTCCTCGTTCTTGTTCATCTTTCAGCTGTTTTATATACGCTTCCGCTCAACCGGGTGATTGAACTCCGACTATGCCAGGCGCATTACGAGTTGCATGATCCATCTGCTATACAGCCAGATGGCTCGATACCAGAGAAGCTGTGTAAAATAGATGATGTGCAGCGACGTCTTGCTTGGTTACAGGGTACTATGGAGACGACGCTTGTTGTTTGTGGTATGTGGGTGATCATTTTTACTTATTCTCCCCGATGCTGATACCAGGCTCACAGACTTCATCGTAACAATACCCTTCAGCTTTGTCGCCGAGAGATGGGGTGTCAAGATTGTATTATTGTGTAATTTGATACCGAGGATTTTTATGAGTACCTGGGCTATGCTTGTTGGTATGTATTCTCGTTACCCTTTCTGCCCCATCTTATGTGATCTCGTTCTGAACATTGTATCAGGAAACTTCCCGCACATCCTCCCCACTAACGCCATCATCGCTGGTCCGTTTCTCAATGTCCTTGGAGGCGAATGCGTATTTCAGTCTACAATCTTCACTTTGACTTCAGCTTTAGCTAGTGAGTATGTGGAACGGTATGTAAACCATCTAGTCACCATTCTTTTCAACGGTTTCGTATCACGAGAAACTAACTCATCGAAGAGCATCCTACTTCTCCTACGTCAGCTCAACATCCTACATTGTCTCCTTCCTCGGACCAACTCTAGCTGCATTCACCATGAGCAACAGTCTCTGGCTCCCCTTCTGGCTTAACATCTCTCTCCTCCTCTGTGCCATACCGACTATCAGCTTGCTCCCCTCGGTTTCAAAATCATCAACTCTATCCACGCCCCCGAATTCTCTTTCTCAAGACCCGGATGAAGAAGCCGGGCCATTACTACAAGGTAGATCCACTAGCTCAACTAGACATCCTGAGGACTTCGAAACGCACGCTAGCTTCTTACAAAGTATACTCCATGCAACGCGCAAAATGAGGCGCTTGGTTACTGGTCGCCGCAAATTCCAAATCCTGCTTTGCTCCTTCTTTCTTACTGCGCTTGCGAGTTCAGATACGAAGCTCCTAGTTCAATATATTTCCAAGCGGTATGAATGGACTTTTGCACAGGCAGGCTATATGCTCTCCGCCAAGGCACTTGTTAATTTTACGTTACTGGCCATAATCGTGCCACGCATCATTCGGACCTCCATGTCATCCAAGACGGTCCACGGGTCTGAAGTACGACTTAATATCATAGGGGCAGAAGTCAGCATTGCGGTTTCGGTCGTGGGCGTGCTGTGTGTGGCACTAGCATCCAGGTTCTGGATGTTGCTTGCTGGTACGTAGATAAGATGGCGACGATGGGTGGAGGTATGCTGACATTCACTGCTAGCTTTGATCGTATATGCTCTCGGTTCTGCGCTGCCGGTTTTTACAATGTCACTGGTCAAGTCCCCTCTCATTGCGCTGGCGCATTCGGATGTCCAGGACTTCAGTATAGTCATGTTGACAAAGACTCTGGGATCGTTGGTCGGCGCTCCTTTGATGACTGTTCTGTGGGTACAGGCTATACAGCTTGGGGGTATTGGTGTTGGTTTACCGTACTTTTTCTCTGCTGTAAGTAATGTCGTCGATCAGATGAACAATATTCTAATCCACCCACGCAGTGTATATATCTTATAGCAGCATTCGTTATTGCACGCTTGCGGAATTAGAAAACCCGATTTGGTGTTAAATGCAGATACACAATCAGATTAGCCTCGCTTCTTAGCGTGAAAAAAGTTAGGACAGCAACTATAGCAGCGAAAGTCGACATGATCCATGCGCTAACACCAAACGCTCACTGGACATCATATTGAAATTGTGACCAAAGAATGCCAGTGAACTTCAAAGACACGGTATATGCTTTCCAAGACTTATCAAAAGAATAAATTCTAAATGAAACAAGAAGCGGCATGTTTAAGAAAGGACCGTAGTGAAAGGCTTGACCACCTGATGGATACGTGTATCCAACACTCTATAACGTTGCCTCCTTGCTAACCGACACTCTGTATAAAACATGTCCTCGAATATCGTACCCAATGCGTTGCTTAGGATCTCTGATTGCGCATTGTCCGAACTGGAATTCTCAATCCTTTGCGGGGGGCTGTCCACTCCCATCTCGATATCGGTCTTCAGTCTGGGAATGGTGGGAATCTCTCTGTCTACTTTCGTTCATATTTGGCCTGGCAGAATCTCGCTCCGAGCCCCGTCCCTGCTGGGTAGGTGCTGCTCCTCCGGCATGATTTTCCTGGTTCGCTGGCGGAATAAGTGCCCTGACCGGCGTGTGGGTGTTTTCCGGGCGCTTACGACTTGTGTTGTGACGGTTAGATTGCCAATACATTCTTTCGGCATCGCCAGTTGCATTCGCCAGAAAATGTGCTCCCTGTTTATCGACAGTGTAGTCGTCGAACTCGACATCTGCAGAGCCTCGCATAGGACCGCTGAACATTGAGGCATGACCAGCAATCCTGCCACCTTTCATCTTGAACTATATTTTCGTTAGTGTTGTTTCCTATAGATAGCAGAGAGGCGAGACTTAAAGTGAGTTTGTGAGCAGGCTCTTGGGCTGCTTGGTTTGGATGTGGTTCCATGGATGCGGCAGTTGTATCCTTGGCGCTGTGAGAGGCGTCCCTTCTAGTTGACCCTGTCACAGGCGTTGCCGCACGAGATACCTTACAGAATGATTCAACGGTATGTCGAAGATCCACGAGGGCTTCTTGATGTTCTTGAGAGATATACAAATGGAGCAGGTTTCTCTTCTTGTTCAGCGTCTCGAAAGCTGAGCTGATCTTATTTTGCGATGTGACGGGCGCCCAATTGATACCAAAGAGTCGCTTTGGTTTGAGGAGATGCAGCACCTGGCATGCAGTACCAGATATAGATATCAGAACGGGGAGGACAGGGCTATTGTCGTCGTCGTCGAGGTGTTGGCGGCCAAGGCGTTGAAGAGTATGGAGCAATAGCCTGATATTCGTTGCTTCGTCACGGTAATTCGAATTGCAGTGAACAAGCTCACTGTAAAGCCTCTGCAGATTAACAGCTGATGAGGATAAATAAACTAGAAGCTGGCTAACGCTTGCTGCACACCCAACGAATTCCATTTCTGAATTTGTATCGGATATGGGACAGGTTCATGGGATATCGACTATCGAGGAGCATCCACAAGGCTGATTTGAGTCAAATAGAGACCGCCATCTGTCCTCATTTTGTTCATATTGGTGGGTATGCAGCCACTTGCAAGTTGGTGGCGATAAGCGAACCTGTGTCAGCCTGCTCTATCGCATCAACACACACGCAAAACCAACGTGGCGTCACGAAACTCTATCGAAATACTGCAATCCGGTGAACGCTGATTTTGGTTACCAACTTCGTATTTTCTGCAAGGCAGAATCCTGCCTCATATATCGTGGTTTGGTTGTTGTCGAGCATTTCGAGGGTGGCATGAAACGCAGCCACAAGGTGACACAGCCTTATTGTACAAGTTATGTCCGAATTTTCAGCATAGAAGATAGCCAAATCATACTGTGCAAATGAAATCAAAATACAGATGCTCTCTTATTACTGACTGTCCTAAATATGTTGTGGTATGCGTCCATGAAAAGTATCATTTCGGGCCCATAGCCAGCATAATCTGTACCGCCTCTGACAGACCGAGAGTAGCCGATCAACACTATGATTATCCTTGGGAAGGTCTCGTTGGCACTACTTCACCGCCAGTCCTGTGGTAGATGTACTGCCTGAACTCTTAATTGGTAGCCCTATACTAAAATGTGACACAAGGCGCAATACCCACCCTCAGGTTTTCACCGGTGACATGCCCTGTGTCGTTTGTTGGAGTAATTCTCCACAGCTTGCAGCCTGATTAATAGCCATGACAAATTATGACGACTGCAAGAAATTTATGACGCCAAATTAGGCCTGCAGTGTTACTTCTCTAAAGCCTCGTCCGCGGCTGGATACTCCTCGGGTTTCCAAACATATGCATGAATCAAGAAGGGGATTCGGCCTTGTCATATCGTTAACCCAAAATCTTTTACCCTTCAGTTCCACAACATGGCATCTGCTTCCTATGTGCAGACCCATATTAGCAAGACAGATATTTCTGGAACGCTTCATATCGGCACCCATGAAGTCAGGGGGGACATAGTCAGGAACAATCATACCAATCAAGAGGTCGCCCCTCATATAGAAGTGGATGGCGCACAGCAGGAGAATAGGTTCAATGTAGTGTTTAACTTGAAAGGGAACATATTAGCATTGGTGGCTATCGTGGCAATCGTGGCTTTGGTCATCGCTTTACTCCTCATATACAAGCATGACATCACTGGAGACTCTACTGACAACGAATCTGTGAGCCCATCAGATCCAAGTCCAAGGCCAACCAGCTCACAAGTAACTAGGGAAATTCCACATCTTCCACGAATTCTCCGCTCTCTCCGGGTACCCCGAACACGCTACTCGACACGTCCGCCGCTCTAGCCTCGTCATACCCCCTTGTACCCGCCATCACCACCGCACTCTCAAGAACCAACGATACAGCACCCACACCCACAAATACGCCCTCTACAACATCCCAGCTTTCCTGGCCAGAAGATCGAGCCCCATCTCTAGCAGTCCAGTCCCCCTTCTCGATAACCCAGTGTTCCACCCCAACAACCCAATCTGCTCCTCCAGCCTGACAAGAAGCCATAGTCACATCCACTACCTTCCTCACTCGCGGCGCCCTGTGAACTGCAGACTCGCAATGCGCACCCAACATCTGCTATACGGAGCCCAATACTGCGACGTACTGCTGTGGCCCGCAGATAACAGGGTGTCCCGGGTCGCTACACAGCCACCCGGGACATCGCGGCTGCAAAGATCCTTTCAAGTGTGACTTCCAGGCGTCGACTTGTTCATCGGGGTAGGGTAGAAGGATGAGGGTGGTTACGACCCGACGTGTGATTACGAACTGATGTGTAGATTAGACAGGATTTTCTTCTCTACTTCGTTCCATGTTTCAAACAAGCGTACCGTTTTTTTGGCGGATGGGGATGTTAATTCTATTGTAAATAGTTCGTGTAACATGTAGTCGTGTATATAAGTAGTTGCCTTGGCATCTTATACGTAGTAACATAGCTTGATTCTCAGACCTATTGTCTACGCTTAAAGCAAGTCTCTTCTCAGACACGCATGACAAGACTTGACAACAAACCGACCAGAAAAGACAACTGGGGTTATCAGTTTTACTGAAAAAGAAAACAACAACAACATTTTCTTCATTCTTACACACACTACACAAAAATATCCCGCCGTACAAATATCTTCTGAAGCAACTGAGCCCACACACATTCAAAAGGGGTGGGGAGACAGCCCCGCCATCCCAAGATATGCAATCCAGCGCATCTTACAAAAGTAGAGAGGCAAGAAAACAGAGATAAAAAAGAAATGTCATGGTACATGGGTAGTAGTGGTGTGGTGATATAGCGACCTAGAGAAGAAATAAACAGCACGACAACTCCTTTTTTCTCTAACTCCCTTAGAAAAGGTGTATATGCCAACAAAAAAAGACACAACAACCTCCCCTGCATGTGCTCCGTTATACCCGAAACGCCATGCACAGGTGAATATATCCAAGAGCCCCCAAAAACCTAAACCAAGAGGGGAAGAAGAGGAGGTATTTACAAAGCGGTTGCTGGAACTCTAGCGACGCGCTTGTGTCTGGGAGAACCAGTCATCTTGTGTCGAGTGGTATTGTCTCCGCATTTCCGCCTCTTCTTCTTCTTGGCTCGATCGAAGGATCTCTTGCATGGCCTGGATATCGTTGATGATGACGTTAAACGCTTCGGTGACTTCCTTAAGGACAACGTTGCGGTTGTAGTCGGATCGATGCTTCCAGATGGCATCCATGAGCGCGGCATTGATTTGCTCTAGTTGTTCGAGTGAACATCCGGATGTAGACTGCACGAGCTTGTCGTGCAAGGCCGTAACCAGCACATCGTCGATAATGAGCTGAGGCTTTGGCTCCTCGTCGTTCAAGATCTGGTTAAGATTCGAATGGTGTGGAGGTGCAGGCGCTGGCATGGAAGTAACGTATTGAGATGATTGCGAGGGTTGTGAGTTTGACGGTTGACTGCTGACGTAGTGGACTTCTGTTTTGGGGACGTGGTCAGTTGTTGGTGCTGGGGAGATACGGGGCGAGAGTTGGAAGCGTCGAGCAAAGAAATTTGGCGAACCTTGTGTGTCAGGAAGCTGTGAGCCGCTCTGTTCTGGCAGCATTTCCGAAAAGTTGGGGATGCCAGTAGGGGCAACGCCATTACTACTCTGAGTACTGAACTTGTTGTCTGAAGACCTGTGCGAAGTCTTTTGACCAGAAGTCGTCGTGGAAGCGCTGTTGTGGTAGTCGTTGGGATGCGAGTTCGGCGCCATGAATGTACGGCCAGCGATCTGCGACTTCTGCGTCTGTGTACCCTGGGTGTCAATCCTACTTGGAGTTTGGAATTGGAAATCATGTTGCGTATTGACATTAAGATCTTGACTGTCAGTCATATGTGTGTCATCGTTGGAAGGCGCGGTAGAGCCGTTGGTTGCGTGTTGTGTGCCATTGGATAACTCCACGGCATGAACTGGCCGCAACGGAGTCACAGGTGGCATAGCCAAGTGTCCAGGAATGGGTTCGCCCAAGACAATAGGCCCCGAGGTCTCCGTTGTACCGATTGATTGCTCAGGAGGCACCCGGGCAATATCAGCAAACTCTTTGTTCGCTGCTATGGCCTTCTCCCGCTTCTCTTGCGCCTTGCGCTCCCTCTCGAGTTCGCGCTGATATACTGCCTCACATTCTGCGAGCAGGCCAGGATTTTGCTGCATGAAAAAGTTGTCTAGATCAACCTCGACGTTTGTAATCATCTCATTACCCTTCAAGGTTCGTTCGGCATCTCCAAAAGTCTTAGCATCTTTGACAAGAGTCTTGATATCAAAGAGGTAATCTGCTGGGCGCTTGTAGTAACCGTTCGAAAGGCGCTTCTCGATGGTACTGAGGTCCAAGTTGTAGTACTTGTTGCCACTCTCCACATGCAAAAGAACATCAACGCCCTTGGAATCTTTGGAGAACTCCCATGGTCGTATAGCACCCTGATCTTCTTGCTCGTCATGAGGCAAATCTGACCGGACAAAGTCAGGGTCTTGCTCCTCAAGCAGATAAGAGTACCAGCTTTCTTCCAGGATTGGTTTGAAGAACTTCCTGTGGCTCCTCTTCAACTGGTCCATGATAGGCTGGATGACTATCTTCATTTTGTTGAGCGTGAGTCTGTCTTGTTTCTTTTGCCACTTTTCCCGAGCCGCAAGTTCTTTAGGATCAATGACCGGCTCAACGATGGGTGCGGCCTCTAGTTCAGGCAGCACGCGCTTCTTCCTGTTATCAGGGTCGGGAAAATCTGCAGGAGACATGCGGATGTAGTGGCTGATGTTGTTGAAGAATTCCGAGCGGCCTTCTTGGTCTGGTCGCTTGAGTTGAAACTGGTTAGTCTGTGAGAATGAGAAAAGATCCATCATCATCTGTCGGTCAGGCTTCTCATTTTCACTCGATAGTTCCATGATGCCCAGAACCATGATCGGCTCATTAGCACCAATACTTCGCAAAAGAAGCTTGAACGTTTTGACCGCTTGTGCGGGCAATGTTTGGTACCAGACGTCGATTGCAGGGATGTAGATGACACTGGGTTTGTGTCGCCTTACTTCAGTGAACAGTTGCGTGATGGCTGCCTCGGGTGTTCGCGTCGAATCTTCCAAGATGGTCGGAAGGTCAAAGGATTGAACATGCAATCCCTCTATCCTATTCAATAACGCTGCGCCAAGATATTGCTGACCCATGCCTTGGAGACCACTGATGAGTAGACGGGGCCTAAAGATCCTGCTGCTTTCGAAATTTCGCATAGTGGCCTCACGTTCGAAACCTTTCTCGTCATCTCGGTCGTCGAATTCAGCTTCTTCGAGTGCCGTGAGCTTCTTCCTCCGAGGAATCAGTTCATCAATACGCTTGATGATTGCCTCGAGGGGTTTCCGCAGCAGCGGCTCGATGTTCTTGCCCAATGGCGCTGCGCTTGCTGTGACGGTTCGCTGAGAGGAGGGGACCATCTTGTTGACTGAGATCATGAAATCCTTTGCTAGGATCTTGATGTTGCTAGGATCAATCAACAGTTTCTTTTCGGATGTGTAAATTTGAGGGTATGTTCCCTGCACGGCGTTCAAGGCTGCCTCTGTGCACAAGGCCCGAATATCGGCACCACCGTAGCCCTTGGTCAGCTCTGCAAGTTGATCCTTCATATCTGGCTTTAGAGGTGGGTCCCAGTTCTTGGTATGAATGTCGATGATGGCTCGTCGGCCTGCAACGTTTGGTAATGGGAAATAGAACTCTCGATCGAATCGTCCTGGACGTCGAAGTGCAGGATCTACTGAATCGGGTCGATTGGTAGCACCTATAACGATGACCTGTCCACGACCATCCATACCGTCCATTAAGGCAAGAAGTGTCGCAACAATCGAAGCATGGATCTGCTCTTGTTTACTCGATCGAACGGGTGCCAAACCATCGATCTCATCAAAGAAGATGATACTGGGTTGGGTCTTCCGCGCTTCTTCGAACAAAAGACGAAGCTGTCGCTCAGCTTCTCCAACCCACTTGCTCAAGGCGTCGGCACCTTTGCGCATGTAGAAGGTGACTTTTTGTCCATGCGTGCTGACACTGGAAGCGAGAGCACGGGCAAGGAGTGTTTTACCGGTACCAGGTGGTCCATGGAATAAAACACCTCGTGGAGGTGTGATCTTGAAGCGTTGGAAAACTTCAGGGTATAGCAGTGGAAGCATGACCATTTCCTTCAGTTTGTTGATATGGTCGTCCAAACCACCTACTCCATCGAAATTGACGTTTGGATCGACACCCAGAGGGTCAGCGTCCGCAAGAGCCTTCTTGTCCTTGACCTTGCCAAGATTTGCTGGGCCACCACCAGAGGCTTGTTGTGGGTCAGCATTGTGAGTTTGGGGAAACCCGAACCCAGGAGCCGTCGCTGTGGTTGGGGTCATCCCAACCATTCCACCAGCTGGCTTAGGCATCTTTTGGTTCTCATCCTCGCTGCTGTCAGAGTCACCGCCTGCCGCGCCCAAGCCAGCTTCGACACCGCCACCAAAGGGACCTTGGCTGCGCCAAAGGCTCCTGTATGTAGATCGGCCACCTCTTGCCCGTGGTTTATCGGCAACGGGAGGATCATCGTCATTGTCGAACATGGTGTTCATTTCTGGTCGGACGACACGGTAGTCTACTCCGGTGTTACGAGCTCGGCGTTTGGGCATCGAGTCATAAGCCAAATCCTCGTCTGGCTTTCGGCGGCTCAGTCGCCGTCTCTTGTTGTATTCCAGATCCTGAAGCTCATCCTGCAATTCTTCTTGATCCAGCCCCGACTCTTCAGACGATGAGTTGCGCCTGCTACGCTGGGACTGACGAGTCTTCCCTCGGAGGCGGTTCGACCGCCTTCCTGAGCCTGAAGCGCTTTCTGATGCAGAAGCCTTGCCCTTGTCATTGTCGGACTCGGATAGTTCTTCCTCTTTTTCGTCCTCGGCGGGGGGTTCAAAGTCACTGCTCTCATCGGCGGCGCGCTTGCGCTTGGAGGATGCGGCACGATTCTAGAAGACTTGTCAGTTTGAGCAC